CATCTGCAGAAGAGTCACATTGTAAATTCAGTTAACAAATAATTTGAAAATATTTCAGAATTTTAGTATGTGGGATGAAAAGCATGAAAAAAAATAATTGGATTGGGAGTAAATTCTGGAAAATTGTTGTCCTTTTTTAAAAAACCTATCTTAAATATTTCAGAACACCAAAAAAATAAAATTTAATAGCATGTTGAAAGAATACACGTTGGTTGTGTTTATGGAGGTAAGTAAAAATGCTTTCACTTTGATGCATAAAAAGCTGCAGTTGCGTTCCCTGTGGACATGGAACCTTCAGAAGGTAAGTTTGCTGCCCCATCCCTGAGACGCACGCATCTAGTGGTTGAATTTGCATATAAAATTATATGTGCAGTGAATTTACAATTATCCTCAGAGCCTGAGGATAAATAAATAAATCCTTACAAGACCAGTCATGTTACACGACACTATATGAATAGTATGTACAAAGTTTAAGACTGGCTGTACCAAACTGTTTATCCTGTACTGAATACAGCAGTCATGACAAACATTGGCTCAGTGGTAAAGCGGTTGGCTTATATGTATGAGAACATGTGTTCAAGTCCATGTGGAATGGGAATAGAATGAAGTAACGACTAAGCATGAAGGGGTGGGTCCAAGTTAATATACGTGAGGTCTGTGCTTAATGTACAATTTACAGATACAATAGGAAATGCAAAAACAAAACCCTGTACTTTTTGTTCCAGTAATCTTCAACAGCCTTCAAGAGCACAGACTGCCGCAGCCCCAAGCTTTTAAACTTGGATTTGATAGTTTGGCTGCAGATGTAGCTGTATTTCCGAAGAAGGGGATGCAGTAGCCAATCAGCATCAACGGTCAGAGTCAAGTTAATATACATGAATCTAGTGCTAATCGCATGACTCAAAGGTGTTGCAAGAAATGTAAACAAACCGTCTAAACTTATAACCTCCAAAAAGTCTTCAAGAGCTCATTTATAGCCACAGTTTCAAACTTCTGGATGAGGGTTACAGAGCAATGTTGCAGATGAACGTTCATGTGTTAGACAGGATATGAGGATAAACTTTGTTTTCTTGATTCACCATCTGTTCAAGCCAAGTGGTCAATCCTAATTCAGTCAAGTCTTTTAATTTATGCCAAAATGACTGGTCTGAGGGAGATCATTTATTCTGTATGTCTCCTGTGAGGCATCAGCTGACTGGTTGACCACAACCACCTTAATCTCAGGGGTAAAGCACCATTTCCATGTGCAGCAGCCCCCAGGTTCAGTCAAGAGGTTTCATGAAGATACATTTCTTCCATTACTCTACTTGGTATTGGGTCCAAAGCTTGCTTTCAGTGTAAAGCAGATGAGCCAAGTGGATGAGAACTGACCAGTTGGCTTGCAAAAATGGCTAATTGAAGAAATGAAGTTCATCCTCATACCCTGTCTAAGAGATAAATGTTCAACTGTGGCAGTGATGTATAATCCTCATCAGAAAGTTCACAGCTTTGGCTTAAAATGTGCTCTTGAATGTTTTAGAGGTTAAAAGATCAAAACAATCAGGGTTATATATATATACATTTCTTGGACCTTCAACATATTTGCATTTAGCACTACCTTCATGTTGGCCCCTGACCATTGATGCTTATTGCCTACTGTAACTCATTTTTCGGAAATATGGCAACATTTGCAGCCAGACGCCCAGAGCTGCAACATGTCTTGTGTTCTTGAATGTCAAAAAATTGCGGGTTTTGTTTACATTTCCTGCTGTACCTATAAGTTGTGCAGTTGGCAAGGAATTCATGTGGACTTATATGCCCCCGCCCTTTAATGTTGGTTGGCTACACTGTCGCAGCCATTAAATGGCCGTTGGAAGGGGGGTGCGATGGTAAGTTCTTTTACCCACCCCCTGGAGGCGTGGTTTCATTTACTGTACCCATAATTGTGCAGTAAGCACTTATGCGGCCCCGCCCCTTAATGCTGATTGGCCACTCATTACTCATGGTCGTGTAACTGCCGCATGTTCGTGTTCCTGCCGCGGTGCATCGGAAAGTAACTGGTTTTTGTTTACATTTTGCCGCGGTGCANACTGTGAAATACTCATTCGTATGTTAGGTTTCCTTTCTACTGACTTACCTGTAGGAATATTTTAATGATACATCAGTCATGGATCAGTAGGTTCGGGGAGGGGATCATATACAGACAGCAATGTGACCTCATAGTGCTGTTTTAAAGGAAAAAAGCTGTGACACAAGCGGATAAAATATTCTTGGGCTATCAGCCATGTCTGATGATAGGGAGAGAGATGTCCGTGTGACATCGGTGATACTTAACCAATTGACACGGCTGAAAGCCAGAGCAGATTTCATCCACTGCAGCTGCCATAGAAGCTTCATATCTTGTGTTTAACGTGAGGTTTACACTGTACATAAAAGGTAAAGCAGGGTAATTTTATTTCAGATGTACACAGTATTTGTTACATGCCACAGGAAATTGAAAATGTGACTACCCATACATGAATAGACAGTATATAGCATTTTTTCTGAACAGGTATAAAAAACTGGCACTTTTGATATAATATCACTGTTAGAGACAGAAGTTATGGCTGCCATAGCTATTCTGTGTTCCACGTAGTGATGTGATACAATGGCAAGTGTGCTCTGTACAGAGGACACCACTGGAGGTTAAGCAACAAATATCTAAATATGGATTTCAATTAACATTATGGAATTTCCAATTTCACAATGTGGGATATTTCATTGGGAAGTGTATCTGTCTTCTCCTGGTGACAGAGCTTGTACAAGGGCATGCTGAAAGTAATGGCTCCTGATTTTTTTCCATAACAGCAATTTCATTCAAACAGAAATGGCTACCTTCCTTGAACTTTGTTCCTTATTCTATACAATTACTCCTCAAACAACCACTTCTGCAATCCAGACACTGCTGTACAGGTATTCATCAACTAATGCACTAGTTGTGTTCCCAAAAGGAGTGACAGGAGGTCCAATGACATAAATGACATCAGGTAGGCCGAACTTTCTCTTATCCCCTTGCATTCCTCCTCCACGCCTGCACAGCATCCCAATCCCCCCTTCTTCTGACCTCTTTTGATGGGCCAGCAAGCAGTTCATACTAAAGCAAGTGTTAATAGGTCTAAATTAATTGAATGCATTAAAATGAAACATGTTTTGAACTTGCATATACCAAGGAGTACCTGTACTTCTGTACGTGTGGCATGACAGAACCACATTTTCGCCACTGTCTTATGGAGGCATTACTTTTCAGCATACCCTTCCAGGATGAAAGCTGCTAATACCAGAGCCCACCAGTGGACACATCATGATCCACAGTCTTATAACCAATTTTGTCAAGATCTGGTTTAATTTCTTTCTTCCGCCACTTTTGATTTCCCAAGTGGATGCTTTCCAGCATCTTCCAACAAAAATATTGTACACATTTGTGTTCAATTCTTTATTGGAGTCAACACAACAACATAACAGACAAGGTTCAAATTACCTAGCTACATGTTTTGGCTTTTAAAGCCATCATCAGGCAAAACACATGATTATTATATTCACACATCATTAGTAATCACGTGCTTTGCCTGATGATGGCTTTAAAGAGACGAAACATGTAGCTAGGTAATTTTAACCTTGACTGTTATGTTGTTGTGTTATGATGGACTCCAGTAAGGAATTGTCTATAATAACACAACAGGATGCATGAAATGAAATGTACGAGTATTTGTGTTCCCCCCATCTGAGCTACAAGTCCTTGGGGTAACTTTCCTGACAAAACTGGAAAGCTGTATAATCATGAAGCTCCTTGGTGGGGACGCTGCGTGCTACAACACTGTGTTGTAGTCAGCAGGCGGATACCAGGGTTCTGGCGAAACACACCACGCTGCAGTCTGATAGGTGGATACTAACGTTCTGGTGGAATGTGTGCCTCCAGCTTTAGGATGACTCCAGATATCAGACATTCAGATTACGTATGTACAGATGTTTGACCTGTTCCCATTCATGAATAATACTCATTGAAGCATCATGTTGTGTTTGCAGTCACAATATGAAATCAGGTCCTCCACAAACAGCAGTTTCATTTGGCTGATGATATGGGCTATGATACTGTGTAGGTCGGTAGAGGTTTAATGACATTTGGTGACTTCAACTTCAATTTTCCATCCTGAAGATAGAGGAAGTATATTTGTCTGCAGTGTTGGTTAAAACAAATTGCGGAGTATTACATATCAGAAGACTTATCCTCAATAATACTGCTGAAAAGTCAGGATGTGACAGAATGTATGTAGCAGGTCTACCCTTATGAAGGTGGTAGTATGTTCCCCCAAAATGTTGGCACTCCTACCCACCTACACAGCGTCACTTCCAAAGTCCTCATGATCACTGCCCTGAATATCTCATATGTAACACTGGTGTTTGTAGATGACTGTACTTCCATTTATGAACAAGAAATACTGGCACACTACAACAGTACAGTAATTGTGTTGTACTGATTAAACTGAACTGTGATCAGTTCAGATGAATTACGTTACATAATGAAAGAAATTCTCAGAGCCTTCACGGCCTCTTACAGGGATAGCTTTACTTTCGTTTTTATAAGATTTTAAACCACCGTCCACTGTTTATGATAAAAGTTGTTTTTAATTTTTCATCCTTTACATGTCTCAGAAGGATATTAGCAACGCATATGGAAACTACTGTTACGTCATAGATATAAATGTTATGTCTTTTAACTAATACTAAGATGTACATTGATTTGTTAAAGATCTAAAATTATTACAGAAGTGTAACAACATCAACCAATTTGGTTCTAGATTAAAACAAATACTGAACATTATTTTGTAAAGAGACTAACTGTAATAATACATCTTAATATTAGTTAAGAGACACAAAATTCATATCTATGACATGTAACAGTAGCTGCCATATGTGCTGATAATATCCTTCTGAGACGGTCGTTTTGACTGAAACATGTAAAGGATGCAAATTAAAAACAGCTTTTATCAATCACACTGGACAATGGTTAAAAATCTTATATACAGTTGCGAGTGTGATGGGCCAGGATGAACCAAGTTACTTTTATAAATCCATTACAAATGTTTCAATAATATGTCAGTGGTGCTTTACAGTGATTTGCAGTAGACTGTACATCTGATTCTGTTCTGATTCTGTGGCTTGTATAATTTCACAGCTTTTCATACTGGCCTATCACTGAACAAGGGTTTCTTTCGTCTTTTGGAAGGATACATGTCACAATGTTCAGTGGCCAATTTGCCGGCCTGAATGCAGCATGGATGGGGGGTGTAGAAATATTGCTACTGCAATCAAGAAAGGCCAAATATACAATTAATTCATGTCCAATTTAGTTCAGAGGCAGTTCATCTGGCTCAGGTCCTATAAACAAGCAACTGCTCACTAGAAATTGTACTTCTCAGCTTACAAGTGCCAACAGCTGGCACAGGAGAACCTCTGTACTCATTTGAATGTGACATGAACTCTGTGGCCTTCCTTCCAGTACCTACAGGCACTATCGTCAGCTGCAAGCTGTGTCTTACTTAAAAATAGAGATGATATTGCAGACAGAAACAATAAAAATATAAGTCCATACTAAATTTCAGAGTTGGTGCCGGCGTATTTCACGAAGAATTTGCAGTTTTGTTTTCGAGATGGTTGCCCTGAAAAAGGAAGAAACAAAGAAAATGTAGTAATGCTCCTGTTAAACTAACAGATTTCACAAAAACCTCACAGCTGGTTTCTTTTTGAAAATTAAATTTCATATTCTGCATCAAAAACAGAAATTTTTAGTAAAACTTCAGCATACCAAGAAGGAAAGACTTATTGGTCAATCTATCATTAAAATGACACTTTAGTCTACAGTTGAGAAATTATAACAAGACAAGTGACATGCTCAGAGAAAAACAAATATTTACTTTGCGGCAGTATAATCACTAAATGACATTATCAACATTACTATATGGCAGCTTATCTACTTAGCCTTTAAGTTAAAGCTATGAATTACTGTTATTTATAATGTCAAGATGAGACAAATTTTGAATTGAGTTGACCGGTTTCATCTAGTAATCTGTGTTCTCGTGTCTAAGTCTGTCAGGTAATGAATAGAATTATTTTTCTTAGCTAGAACTGGCTGTTCTTTTGAATAAATTGAATCAGCGGTAGACAAAAAGCATACTCATGTTCGTTTACTGTCACTAAGAACCATGAATGGAGACTGCGTTTCTTTCTGTTGCTGCCGCAAGATGCTAAGCGTTCCAAATGGGGTGTCTGTTGAGCTCATCTGTTTCATCAACTTGAAACAAAATAAAAAATAATCTCATTGAGCCTGACACCTCAGCTGGGGCACGGTCTGTTTGCCACTAAACATGCTGAAGTGTTTGCAGCACCTGTCACAGATTATCCTAACAGCTGGCCAAATTTTAAGTTGGTCTGCTGCTTGAAGTCATCAATTTCCCCCAATTTTCAACCCACGGTCTCTGTCTATGTCTGCTAGCCTAATGACAACTGAACAAATATGCTGTGTGTTATATGAGCAGGCTCCATGTGACTTGCCGCAAAGTTCCCGTATTGGCTTCTGTCCCGAGACTGAAGCTACTGTGTATGTTTGTAGTCAGCAGAAAATGAACGCACAAAAAGTGTGGACGGATATCTATCTGCTATATAGAATCATGGACATGTAATCATAACTACAATTTACCTCCTTATGGAGCACCATTTAGAAATAGCATCAAATTGTTTCACAGTCTCGCGTGCAGCACGTCTTTCTATAAAACTTTCTGAAAGTTATTGATTACATGTTTCGACCTATAGGGTCATCATCAGGTGTTATCGTTTTTAAGAAAGTGCAACACCACACAAATGTTAGTAAGCATTGGTAATAGTAAAAGTGGTTGATGTTTTTGAAACGTGGTGTAGAAAGTTGCAGTACCGTCAAAATGTGTGGTATGCGACCTTGAGTGCGTCTTACTTGCAAAACAATGAGCGTAAGTGATAAGGGGATGCTGAGAGCCTTCCAGCTATGAAAACCTTCCTGTATGTTAGTGTGAATAGTATGAATCAATTCAGTTCGCGATTTTGCCTGGTTGAGTATACAGTCCATCGCGTGTTCGATCCTCGATGTGCTTCGTATCACTGTTAGCGTCATTATTAATCTGCTTGAAAAGGAAAGGTGCTACTGAACGAATGAAAATTAATGACTTTTTTAAAAAGTAGTAACGCAAATTGGACTTGACAGTGGAAATATTATCACTGGTTTACGTTTTTTGATTTAGTTAATACATATAGGCAAATGTGACCGTTTTCATTCTTTTTATATAGGCCCTGCATCTATCATTTTCCCGCAACCATCGTATTTTTCAGGACCCCCGACGAAAATGATGAATCAAGGTTTCACTGTATATATGAAGTTGTGGGTTGCTCTGCCAGCTGCGTTACACAGCATAACACAATAGGCAGAACAACCCGCCACTTCATACATTCATGCACATAGAAGGGACCACACAATAACTATAAACATCAACAATATGGAAGCACAGCAGTTTCCTCATTTATAATTTATAACTTTAAAACACCTAATGATGACCCTATCGTTCGAAACATGTAGTGAATAACTTTTAGTAAGTTATATAGAAGAACGTGCTGCACGTGAAACCATCTGCTAGTAAATGAATTGCAGCAGGGTGCTACAATATAGTACTAGTTACAAATGACAGCTCATGACCAGGTCTGGACTGATACTCACTCCTTCCTGTTCATTCTTCTTCATTCGTTTCTCTGCTTTATTTCTGCCAGGTCCGTTTCCATGAAATTTATGAGACAGGTATCTGAAATTAGAAAGAGGGACAACATTAAAGTCACTATATTTTAGGATCTTACATAATGTGATCATGTTCCCAAGTAACACGTAACCTCCTTACATCATGAAGTTCCAGTCAGAAATATGGGTACGATCCATATTTAGTTTAATCTGTTATTTTGTGAAATTGTGTTTTCCAACACAACTTACTCATACAGCCAACAACCAGAAATGAGCATGCTACAGCCCATTAAAGTCATAGGGATTGAAATGATTAACGACAAATATTTTAATAAAAGTACAATGGGACAGTAATAATTTTTTTTCATGTTTCTTCTTAATTCATGCAACCTATCTGCAAAATGAACCATTCTGCCACATTCTATGCCTACACAACAAACTGTATCACGTACAAAGTATTCACACACTCAAATGTCCCAATACGTTGGCTACTTAGAAACTGTGACATACAGAATGGGAGAAAAGGAAGTCAAAACAACACGTACATAACAAAATGTTCTACTGAAAGCATCTGAGGTGGAGACAATAATCTCACCCCCCCATGATAGGGTAATCATGATAGTGCTGGTCAGCAGAGGGACCCTACATTTTAACATGGGAGGGGGGTATCCTTTGTATTCCCAAAGCTCTACCTCTGGTAGATGTGAAGGCAACATCTGTGAGCAGAAAAATCTGTACACAGATGTGAGTGAGGATCGAACTCAGAACCTTCTGAATGGGTATAATAGCTTACCCTTGGACCTTTTTCTTAAGGACCTACTTTAAGTTGCTCTAGTGTTGCTCCCAGCTCAGTCGCCATGTTAATATGGCTGCTAGTAGACAAGTGAAAGAAAATGGGGAGTGGCACGATGACAATGCAGAGTTTCACATAAATCCATCAGTTGGCTCACACATTACAGTGAGGATAGCACACATGGATGATTAACATGGTGGTCCCATAATCTTGCCTGTTTCCACTGAAAAGCCACTTCCTCCTAGGAATTTTTTCTTAAAGTGGCAATTACTGTGAGAACTTTTTTCCCTACAGAATGTACTACCACTGGACAGGCTACCCTCCACAGTGCGACCTATCTTAAAAACAGATATGCTGTTAGCTGTGCTAACCTGAAAGCCTCCTTTGCATTAAGCACAGGTCCATTATCATCTGTGTAGTCGAGTTTAACATCCGGTTGGTAGCCCTCCTCCTCTTCTTTGAAGTCTAAGGTCGGACCACTGTACTGCTCGCGATGCCCAAACTTTTCATCATCTCTGAAACAATAAAGCAATTCTGTATATTAAATTCCTTAATTAGTCTTGCTTGCTTACTTCGTCCTGTCTGACCATCGTGTACACCTCCCTAATACTCAAGTGGGTCAATCCCAACAGATGAGACGAGACTTGCAATCCAGTTATAGAGGAGATGACAAAGTATTCAAAGCTCACATATTCTTTACCCTTCAAAAATTTCATACTCTACTCCATAATCAAAGCAAGTGGCCGATCGTTGTGCCCATGACAACTCTCTTCCCTAAGGCCTGCTGCGGAGAAGACTTTGACAGCTACAGAACAACTTAGGCGACTCAGTCTGCAGCCACCTGCTCACGCTGGTTCCTCACTTGTGGATTTTTATACCCTGAAGATGGAGGCGACACATTCCTCCAAAACATAGGTTTACACAACATCTACACAGTGCCACATCCGGGAAGACGGCATTCTTCATGAGTGACATTCATTACATACCAAAACTCTTCACGTACTAATAGTAAACAGTAGCGATTAATACGAGTATGTTTGTATTAAAACCCCTAACAAAACTGCAGTATACGATTAAATATGGTACAGCATTTCTGAAATCCTTAAAATATAAATGTACAATCAAAACTAATACAAGTGTCAGGGTCTCTTAATTTGGATCAGCCTATGTTGTACATAAAGAATCTGCTAGTGGCTCACCAATCTCAACTTCATTCCAAGCTCCACGTTTGCCTTCTTCCTGATGTTTCTTCTCTTCAATCATTTCCCTCTCAAAGCCCTGTAATGTAAATTTTGTACGAGATTAGCAAGATGCAAATGCGCAGCCCAAAAATTACCAATTCATTACCTTGAGATAGAACTGCTGACCCACCAACCACTGTATAAAACATTACTGCACTGTAAAGTACTGACTACACTGTGTAGGGTGTAAGCTTCTGACAGCAGTGGTTTTGAGAGTTCTGTCATCTGGGATATAACGCCGTGTAGTCTGTCAAAAGTCAACAGACATTTTGGAGACACACGTCACCTCCATCTTCAGGGCTGAAGAACAAACCAAGCAAAAAACCAGTACTGGCGGGAAACAAAGCCAAACTCACAGACAGCGGTGAGTTTGTCAACCTTACATTCCCATCCCCCCAGGACAATCCCTGGTACTCATTTCTGTTAGAGGCTGAATCCACCCCATAGTATGGCTGGAAGGATTGGGTCAATTTAAAAATCCAATTCCCTCACTGGGAATTGAACCCACAACCTTCTGGTTCATAGCATAGTACGAAAGGATGATGATATGACTTAAATGTAACGATATGCTTTACTGGTTTGAGGCCCACCACAACAGACTGTGAGAGAAACAATTTAATAGCCCTCAGGTTAAATCAGAACACAGTTTCTCCACAGTACAACGGTTTTGTATAGTAACCAAAGAGGAAAGATCACAGTGAATTTTACTACAAAGTTCTGGTCAACATTTTATAACTGGAACATATGGAGACACTGTGTAGGAACTAAACACAGCACAGGATTCTGTAGCTAGGTCCAATTTCATCACCTCCCACCACCTATCCTTAGGGCTGTTCCTCTATTGTCTCAGACAAGTGAGGGGAAGATGGCCTTGACTGATCAAAAGAAATGTCCCCTACTACAGCCAAACATTTGTGAGGATTAAAAAGGAAATCTGCCCATGTGATGTACCTTTTTTATACTGTTCTTTGATTTTGTAACAGCCTCCTGCAGCTTCAGTCTGCGTGCTTTCTTGAGGGCTACCTGTAGCTCCAGTGCGCTGTCATCTGGTTCAATCTTGATGTTGGACAGTACTTCTTCTGGCACTGAAAGTTATTTCAGATTATTAATAACATTCAAAACTGCTCCTGCACCACATTTATTTTCCTGATTTCACAACAAACTTCGTAGCGGAAACTATATAGTATCAAATGGCTGATGATCAAAAATTATGTATTCAAAAGTCTTGGTGGTCGTCACCTGATAAGAGATACAAAGTCCAGCCAGCATTTGCCTGGAGGTACTGTGAAACACCATGAAAAACCTACGTCAGGTTGGCCAGATGTTCCAGCTGAGATTCAAGAACACATGAACCCAGTTTCCTTTTTTGAATTCCAATAGTGATGAATTCTCGTTGTGATGCAAGTAAAATGCGTCCGTACTTACAGTCCGATTGGCCGTGTTTAAGTTCATCTCTTCTTGTAGTAGTTCAATAATTTTTTGTGCTGATCTGAGTTCTATTTTAAATTTATCACAACAAGTACTCGTTACTTCACTTGTTTCAGTACTATTATTGATGAAAACTGGAGTGTCATCAACATTATCCCACGAAGGAACCTCCATTTTCAATATCAATCACGGTGATCACGGTGATGACGGTGATCGATCTCTCGGGGACGTTATTGACGTATTGACTTCGAGGATGGTACGCCTTGACCGCGTAGTTCAATTTGAGGTGTCTACTAGGTATTCCTCCAAATACTGCAGCAAATAGGAGTCGGGATAGTTCAGTCGGTATCAGGGGTGTGGCAGCTGGTATAGCAGAAATTGAAACATTCGCATTTTTTTTTTCTATTCTTTGAAGAGAAATAAATTTGTATTAAAAATGCTCATGCCCATCCGACCACTACTGCCATCTAGTAAATTCACATGCAAAATTGGTCGCTCATTTGTACCAATCAGAATACACCTATCATATTTCTATGCACCAATCACGTAGCCCCAACAAATCAATTTGGCGGCACTTATGATCAATTTCGATAGGTTGGGCAGTAGTGATTGATAATGTATAATTTACTGCTTATTCTCTGATGAATAGTAAGTATGGATTTTGATTGTATGTCGTGAAACGGGAGTCAACGTTTACGCACGAAGTTACAGCTCCATGTTTGATATGTTATTTGTGTATATGAATGTTATGCCTGTTTCATTGAATGTAATTAGGAATATACATCAAGCCAAGAATTCTTGTGGTTGCGAAGGCATTTCATCCATAACATATTTGTGTTATGAGTCTTTCGGTTGAGCTCACAGAAGGTCTGTAGAATGTGCAGAATTTCCAAATGTACCGTGATTGTGTTATAGTTTTTGTATTTCTCCTTGCAGCATAAAATGGATTGAAGAATGCCCTGCCTCTCGATGGTCTTCATGCAATAAGCATGACGAATTAAAATTTAAAAATTTTCCATGGATCCAGCAAGGTATGTCTGTTTTAATTCATGATGTAACAGCTTTATTCTGTGTTGCTTAATCACTGTCCCTTCCACTGAAATTGCAATAATTTAAGTCATGTGGCAATGATCCCATTCAGTTTCCTGATTATAAGCAGCCGAGTGCAGCGGAGCATTATTAAATGTATCCAAAAACTTAAAAACTGTTTACAACCCATGAAAGCCACTTTCCTATTACATATTTCTAGTCCTAGAAATCTTTCCTTGTGAAAATCATAGTTATATATTGGTAACTTATAAACCAGTGAAGAAATTAAGTGAAGTCTATGTCTTTTAGCCATGAATTTGACATTAATGACAGAAAGGATGCAACCAGTGCCATAACAATTATTGGATTACACAAACTTCAGCTCATTGAACTGATAATACAAAACTAAAATTACTTTCAACAATTTCAGGAAAAGAAGGCATGTTGTTAGGAGTGGATGAGTATGTTTGGTGAGAGGGGAAGGGATTTTAACTGCAATACAAAGAACAGTATTCAAATTCTTAAAAAAATTCCCAATGCACAGATTACACTAATGAGCAGAATTACCTGGCGGTTGCAGTTTACTCTACTGTACAGATAAGATATTTCCTTCTGGATTTCCCTGTCAGTGCAGAAAAAGTCTTTTGGAAGGGTGGAGGGGACTGTTTAATGTTATTTAGCCAAAATACACACCAAAAAAATGTAGGCACTTTTTAGTTTAAAATGCAAGTAAAGAAAAATATCACAAAATATGTAGTTTTATGTAACACCTCAAGAAATATTGAGGGAATGCCAAACTATGTACAATAAGATTTAACTGTAGCAATTCTAATACTGCAAGTCATGGAAATTATTACTTTCTGAGCATCTGCATAATAAGAAATAAAATATGTATATACATAAAAATCCCAGCTCTAGTAATCAGCCTTTACATTTTCATTTATTTTCCCTTCAGGGATCCAATCATCACCCCATAGGGCTGGATATAAAACATGTCACATATTACAAATTCATGATGACTACACATCATTCGCCCTTTGTCCAATAAAATATATAATGAGGTCTCTCACAGATAGCTCAAGTTGTCAGGCCAACATACATGGGTCGTGGAAAAACCACAAATTCACGCCCTGCCATTCCACATACTCTGGCAAGCCATATCATTAAAACAGTTACATCATAAAATATTAAAATTCATAACAAAAAACAGACATCAGGCGTACACTGTACTACTGCACTTACAACGAACAAGTCTCAACAGTATGTAATTCATGCACACAGACCATTTATTAACTCTTAACTTTTGAGCAACTTACATGCTCAACAAACTCATCAATTGAGTAAAATGCATTACTTTGCAAATAATTTCATAAAATAAACCTAAATTGCTTTTTATATTTTTTTAAAACTGTGATATTTGACAGCAGAATATCATGTAGCTTGATGCCCGAATAATACACCCCTCTCCGATAGGATGATAAATGTGTTGAAGGTGGTCATTCCTTCTGGTACCAATGACATAAACAGAGTTATTGGTTTGAAATGTATCCAAATTATTAAGAACAAATATCATCAATGAGAGCAAATATACACATGGGATTGGTAGTATGTCAAGCTTTTTAAATAAACCTCTACATGTATGAGTTGGGCCCACTCCCATCATCATTCTTATTATTTTCTTTTGTATAACACAGACCTTATGACTGTCTGATGTATTTCCAATGAATGATAATATGCATAATATACAGCTTCAAGACTATTTATATTTAATATATATAGGATAATTTTTGCATTAGAAAACCAACTGTGCTCAACTTGTGAAGCAAAAAATTGATATGTCCCTTACAAGTCAGATGATTGTCCAGCTGCAAACCGAGATATTTTATCATTTCTACTTCTTTCAACTTTTTGTTAAAAAACAATGTATATAGAGGGTAGCTCGTAGCTGCTGTTGGGGTGAATTTTATCATTTTTGTTTTATCCAGATTTAACACTAATTGATTATTTTGAAACCACGTGAACATGTGATTAAAAACAACATCCAATTTTATTTTTAAATTATAGTAGTCTTTAGCTGTGCAAAGAATACTTGTATCATCTGCAAACATAACAGTATCAGTATGTAAACCTTCCCACTACATGCTCCTGTAGGGATTCTTCCAGTCTTTTGAGATCTCCTGACCTACTGTAGCCAGTGGGAAATGTATGCACATTCAAAATTTAAAGTCGTCTAAGCAACGAATATTAAAAATTATGGTCTTTTAGTATGTGGCACCATGATGACTGGTTACCAATGTTTCAGAGGAATACTTTGCATCTATCTTCAGGGCTGATCATGAAGATGGACATAGCAGGTTCCAATGTTATGTTGGTACCTGTCTACCAAGACCATAACACATACATTAAATTACTTGATAAAGCTGTAACAGTACCACAGGTGTGCCTCAGATGCAAGAAATGTGTAAAGACTTTTTATATAAAGAGCATGTTTATGGGAAACAATGCATAAAATATTGATAGGAAAATGTCGGACCCGTATGGCAGATCTAGGCAAAGATAGCAAGATAACACAGTCTGTTTAAAACATCTCTGAGGCATGTCATAACTTGAGAATGCAATGTTGTGCAAGAGAAGTCCTGTGTGCTCAAGTATGGAAATTTTGGTTTCCATCAATGTTGGAAATAGAGTCTAGTAACTTTCCAGTAATAGCGTAATGATCTATGTCACTATTCAATGATCATTCACCCTCAGAGATGTTTTGGACACAGTAACAAAATGAATTCACAGAAGGCCAGTCCTGAATATCTGTATTGTACTGAGCCTCCTCAGGTAGGTTTTGTAGTTACAGTGCCGAACCTCTGAGTTAAACTGACATATATTGGGCATTTTGCCTTTTCTGATTTTGGTTCAAGGAACATATTAGAAGCTGCCTCTGCTGGATCCTTTAGATGGAGTTACAGCTTCTTTATCCCAAGACACGACAGATTTGCATGTAATATAGGATGCAAGTTTTATTCAGTAAAAATCAGACATGAAAGTGCCATAGAAGCTATAACAAACATGTAGGATACAAACCTGTATGACAGAGACAGACATACAAGCCCCTCTGCATGCAAGTCAAGTTGTCAGAAGGTTATACCTGACCTCGCATACAACTGAGTAAAATTTCACTAAACTAATATAGAACTATACAATATAAATTACATAATCTTAGTTCCTGGGTAGAATAATGCTCAAGCCAAGGACAGAGCACATAAATTACACGAGTCTTTGGTCAAAAATAATTAATTACATGGTTTCTACAGTATTTTTACATATTATAAAATAGATACTTCACATTTTTAACAGATTAAAAGCAATACAGAACTACCAGCCTCTTCTTTTATGTACAGCAATAAATAGAAGACAAATGAAGATGGGAAGCCATAAGAATATATTTAAAATAGCCTACATTTCAATAAATACACGATAGTCTATGGTGCTGCAGTCTATTAAACGCGGAATCTGCCACTGAGAAGCTACTTAATACAAACTGCTTCTAGGAAGGGCTTAGTAAATCCTGGGTCGTAGGTCACCTTAGATCACAGCCAATCAGTACCTGGTTCAAGATTAACATAATTCTGGGATGTGACACCATACAGCACAGACATTCCTAAGGCAACTGCAGACTTATGTGTCTGTAGTTCCTTTAGTGACAATGTCAGACTACACAGCATTGGATGGATGATGATGAATGATGAACGGGAAAGGATGCGGATGGACGGGATCATGGTCAATGATTTGGTATTTAGAGTAGGGACTGAGGAAAACAATCAAAACCTCAGTCAGAACTATCAGTGTCCTGGCGAATATTCATATCAGACACTGACAGAATAAGCCACCAGTATTACTGCTTGATCTAACTTGCCAGATGCCTCTACCTTTAGGGTCAATTAGACTCTGAAGATGGAGGCAGCATGCTCCTCTGAAACACTGGGATCCACAGCATCACATCTCAGATCAGCAACCACTGCTGTGGCAACTGAAAATCTCAATCTCCATTTTATAAGCTTCCTCTGTGATGGGTAACTACACACATCTGATCCAAAAATGCGCTGAATGACACTTTCTACACAGGCATAGGTTCTTACCAAGAACTCAAAACCTACTGAATTTTTACCATGTATCACATTCTGATAAATAATACTGAGCATACAGAGGTAACTGAAGTTACATACTATCAATATCAAAATTCTGAATGTTATATTTTAGCATCCTGTTACACTGATTCATGTCCATGGTTTATGCTAACCGTCTTACAGTGTATACACTTTTTCACCTTATTCTTCACTTCCACACTACATGTTTCAGCACTAACGTGCCATCTTCAGGTGTCTTTATGTACGATATCTCAGTCAAATATCCATATAAAATACACAGGATTTAGACATAAATATACATGGATAATTATATTTAAGTAATTCCAAATTTCATTATGGCAGGAGAAAGAAGACACACTGCTGTGTGGGGTTCATGGTTCTCATGGGAGTGACTAAGAATATTACTCATGCTGGGATGTGATGTCACATAACTCTTCATAGCAGTTTCATTTGTTGTGATCAAAGAATTGGCACAAAAATGCTGTTCTTAGGTGGGTCTAGTAGTCTACATATTAAAACGGATCTTAGAGACAGAGGATGGGGTGGTATGAACTTGATTTTCTTGACTCAGGATACGGACCAGTGGAGGGCACTTGTGAACACGGTAATGGACCTTCAGATTACACAAAATTCTGGGAGATTCTTGAGCAGCTGAGCGATTGGTGGCTTCTCGAGAAGTGCTCATCTCCAAGGAATTAGTTATAACCATTTAATTTCAAAATTTAAACTACTAAAACTGTCTCTGATAATCATACCAAGTTTCATAAAGACTGGTTCAGGCATTTAAAAGTTAATGAGGGGGATTCACAGACACACAGGCAACATGAAGTTCCCTAAGTCTACTCTACAAATGGAGGCTAAAAACAGGATAGACTGCTTGAATATTCTTGCTCCACATGACTCTGTATGACTGGGGGGATGGTTTGCAAGTGGCTGCAAAGGCGATTGGCTTACTTGTTTATCGTAACTTTGAAAATGCAGAATAGAAAAATATAGATTACTGTCTTCTGGGGTATGGTGCCATAGTTTTAGAGATATGTACTGTTTTGAAGGAAACAGGAAAAAATGGTGTCTTCTGGCCTGAAGATGGGGGGAAAGAATTCCATGTGAAATGTTAGTACATATCTACCAAACTACAACAGCATCACATTTTAGAGGAGAATAATCTTCAGTTACTGCCATTAGAACCTCAAATCCCATGCAGAATTTTGTCATATAGCAGGACTGCAATTGTCTTCAAGAGATTCAGGGCAATCACTGTGCATCTCTCTTCAAACTTTCAGACTTACCCTCACACACCAAAATAAGCACATCAGAACCTCAATAGGAACTTTGCTGTATTTAAACATATTCCATTTCAGCACATCTCTGACTAGACTCAGACTAAACCCTGATAAGTACAGCTGCTCATAGCAGCAAAACCTCGCCAATGACTCATGTTCACTCATCATCCCAATTTCCACTACCATCATCTAGAATTATAGTCCGGCTATCCCATTCCTTCTGTTCTATCGCTGGAAATTCTGTCATATATTCTTTAGTAGCCCACAGAAAAAGATCAAGTGTTCGTTCTGTGCACTCTGCAATAAATCTTACAAATGGTCGAATATCTCCTTCATTTGCAATCTCTAGGTATTCATAATATTTTAACCTATCTTGTTTGAGAATTATAACAGGCGGGAAACCCGCCTGCATCAATATGGTGTTCATCAGCAACCGGGCGGTGCGTCCATTCCCATCTGTAAATGGATGGATGTGTACAAGCTTGTAATGTGCCAGAGCGGCATATCTGATCGGATGTAGACGCATGACCCGCTCTGAATTGATCCATTTCTCAAACTCCGCCATGAGGACCGTGATTTCAAGAGGTCCGGGTGGAACATGTCCACCTACGTACACCTGAGTGCGACGGAATATTCCACTGTCCAGTGGGTCTACAAAACCCATCACTCGCTTGTGGATCTCCAAGATATCTTTCACAGAAATGGCCCCTAACCTGCAACAGGGTTATACATCACTCAGAAAAAAGTCCTTCTTTTATTGGTCACAGGGATATAAATTGTGTTATGTAAAGCACGGTACAGCTATCTAAGAATATAGAGATTGCCTGTAGCTCTGTACGTGTGAAACTTAGTACTTCACATCAAGAAAGAACATAAACTGAAGGCATTTGAGAACAGGGTGCTGAGAATATCTGCATCTAACAGAGATGAAGTAAAAAGAGCCTGGAGAAAACTGCATAATGAGAAGCTTTGTGAATTGTAATCCTTGCCAGATATCATTAAACTGTTTTACTTGAGGAGGATGAGATATGCAGCATGTATCAGACAGAATTGCATACAAAGTTTTGGAAGGAAAACCTGAACAAAAGAGACTACTGTGAAGATTTAGACATAAATGGGAAGGTAATATTAAAATGGATCTAAAAGTAGAACAAAAAAGTATGGACTAGAAGCATTTGGCTCAGAACAGGGGCCAGTGGCAGGCTCTTGTGTTTTTATGTTCTGTAAAATTCTGGGAATTCCCTGAGTAGCCAAGCAAGTATTAGCTTCTCAAGGACTGAGGCCCATGAAGATATATGAGTAGTTAATTTGTTGTGCAGTTTTGCAGGGGAACATGATGCCTACATCTTCAGGGTACAGAATAGAAAAACACATTTCTCTGAGGCACTGGTGACCACCTATATAAAATCTGTCATACAACAGAAGATTACATGCTAATTTTCAGGCTGCAAGAATCTCACATCTCATCTGGGATGGAAGGAGAAATGAAGAGGAGGAAATTAAATAGGTGTCAAATGTCTGGAAGGACTGAGAAAAACCTGACACTATGTCTGGTCCTTAAGCTGTGGTTTGAACCAGGTACATCCTTATATGAAACAGAAATGGTATCCACTCTACATACTGCACACACTGTGTGCATGTCACTAAAATTTCTGATCACCTGTTCACAAGGGTAGCATTTATATACTTCATGGCTGCATCCAAACCCAGAATCTCATTATGCTCCATGATGCTCTTGCCTGCGACAGCCATCCGAGTCTCAACGATGGAACGTGTCTGAGACAGCGTCATTGTGTTTCCCTCAATGCCCACAGTGTGGTAAATGTGCTGCAAGAACATGGCATAACAAACAATATTCAGGAACTATTTTCACATTCTTTCAGATACATTCTATAATTTATATTTAAACTTGTGCAATGCCATGGCAAATTCAGCATGGAGTCTCCTTATGTGTAATACAAACTTACTTACTTACTTTCTTTCTTTGCATCTCTTTCATACTGCTTCTATCCATCATACTGTCTTCCCCCCCCATCTTTATGTTAAAATAGGGCACTTACATACTAGCGGATGCTTACACTGCCAATGTTACAAGTCTACTTGTAAAACAACACTAAAGCCTAATCTCAGAATTGAATTTCCTGCAACAGTAAGTCCATGGGTTTAGACTTTTGGTTTCATTTTTACATATAAACACTGCAATTGGCAGCGTTAAAGTTTCAAACTTACTTGAGTCACCTGTTAACGTGCAAATACCTAAAATAATTTACATAAATATCACTCAAAATGTCCGATTAGAAGAAATCAACAAAGAAAAATATCTTCCATGGTTATTTAAAAGATTGCCCAAAAGTCCATGTCCTCTGAGAGCGCAATCAAACGTGCATACACACACAGTAGAGGACTCTAGTCTTGAGAGTTGTAAGGAATGCAGGAAGTCGAAACCATTACAGGCAAGGTATCAGTGTGGATTAGCAACTACTACCCGAACCAAAACAGAACTGCTTTACTTCAGTCCTCTTGAGCCCATACAAGTATGCTAATGGCCGATACATTCTGAACTGATGCCACATACACAGAGTATGCAGGTCTGCTACTGTCCCTCCTTCGTTTGACGGTCCCTACATCCCCCGCCCTGTCTTCTGCACCCCGCAAGCGTCAAGATTAGAGTCTCTACCACTACACACAAATTTAACACTTATGGAAGACATGAATGTATATACCAGTCGCTCAGTCAGTATAGTTCACTTGCGGACTACAGACCACGGAGAGTTTTTATGAATGTATTGATTCATTCATTCATTTATTCACATTCCATAAAATCCTTACAAGGTTGAAAAAACCAATAGATATAGAAATCGTCCAAAATATAAACTCATCTTGCTTAGAAATCAAGCAGTTGTCAAAATAACAAGTTAACAGAAAAGAAGATTTAAATCACACATAAAAATTTATCTTGAAAATAATAATAAGTAAGACACTGAAAATTTTAAGGTAAAAAATTCAGTCCAAATATTATTTACTAATCATGCTTATACAATGTGACAGTTATTTAAAAACCAGTTTATAATATAAGACAAGTTTGAAAGTTGAATAAAATTAGTCATATTACAGTAATCAATTTACAATATAAGATAAAAGTAATAATGAATACAAATAATATTTACAACTTTAAAATGGTATAATCAAATAACATCTGTTATAACAGATAACTGAAGTTATTTACAAAAAAGCTTAGTCAACTAACATGTTGTTTAAAATTTCAATATAATATAATTATACAAGCATTATCTGATAAAAAATTCTTCCAATGTATAAAAAGAATTAAAATACAAAAATTCCTTTAACTTGTCCTTAAACCTTTCTATATCATTAGAAATTTCCTCAAGTGTATCAGGAAGTGCATTGTATATTTTAACAGCCATATGATGCACCCCACAAAATAAGAAAACGGAAGGCTAATTGGATTGGTAATGTTTTACGCAGAAACTGCCTTCTAAAAGAAGTTATTGAAGGAAAGATAGAGGGGCGGATAGAAGTGACAAGACGAGGAAGAAGACGTAAGAAGATGCTGGATGACCTTGGGGATAGAAGAGGATACCGTCATTTGAAGGAGAAAGCTCTAGATCGCAATAAGTGGAGGAATTGTTTTGAAAGAGACTGTGGACCTGTTGTCTGACAGATTACTGATGATGATGATGATACACCCCATTTCCATATATCACCAAATTAACCTGGGTCATATGTATATCCATAATATGTCTAGTATTTATTTCATAGTGAGCTCTGTTTGTATCAAATATGCTTCTGTTTTTTACTACAAACATCATCAAGGTATATTGCGTTCTTAAAGGAAATATATTCATATCCTTAAAATGTCCTCTACATGAATCTGTCGAGCCACATCCTTTCATTATTCTTACAACTCTCTTTTGCAACTTAAAAACTCTTTCGGCATAAGACGAATTACCCCAAAACATTATACCGTATGACATGACAGAATGAAAATATGAAAAATAAACACTTTTTAATGTTTTCATGGAGACCATTTGTTTTGCATTTCTTATCATATAGCAGGCCATACTCAATTTTTTACTTATGTCTTGTATATGACCATCCCAACTTATGTCATTTTGGATAGTGAGGCCAAAAAATTTTGCAGTGAAATTTATATAATATGTTTTTATTATATTAAGAATACCCTGAATACTTCATTTGTTGTGGTTTTGAATTTTATTGTATTGGCATGAGAAATCAATACACAGGCATCATCAGCAAAAAGTATGGGAGTACTCATCACCTCCAATATTTTTCGTAAGTCATTTATATAAATTATGAACAGCAGTGGTTCCAATATGGATCCTTGGAGGACATATTCAAATCTATTACTGCAAAAGTAATCACACTGCATGTTAAATTATTTTAATTTATACTGCATTAAATATATGGAACATCAAAATGTGGGATCAATCTATATCTTACCAATATTTGTATGGTAACAGGTGTTTGGGGGGCATGCAGTAGCATAGTTGGTTGAGGCACTATGCTACAAGCCAGAAGGTCTCGGGATCGAATCCTGAAGAGGTCATTGGATTTTTTTTCAATTTACCTAATCCTTCCAGCTGCACTATGGCCCTGGGGTTGACTCAGCCTCTAACAGAAATGAGTACCAGGAATATTCTTGGGGGTAAAGGGTGGCCGGTGCATAGGGCTGACAACCTTATCACCATCTATGAGCCGATTGTCTAGAAGATGTGGGAACCTCAACATCTCACAACCCTATGGGCCTCCATGGCCTGTTACAGGGATACCTTTACTTACCTACTTTAAACAGGAGTTTGAGAATGATAAATCAACTTTAAGTTTTTGTAAACAATTAGAAAGGACAGATGGAGACCAAAAGTAAATTTTCTTAACTACTCTGAGTGTACACCCATAATACCAAATACAAATTAAGGTGAGTGACTTTGATAGTGAGACACTGAGACATGTCCTCTCTATCGTACACTAAGTTTATGCAATTTGTGAAAATACACATACGAATACAAATTAACATACCTGAAAATAAGCCTCTTTCTTGGCTCGACAGAAAGATGAACTTGAATCCGGAATATTTGACAATGCATCCCGTTTATCATCAATCCTACGCAGATTACTTCGGTCCATCTCTTCAACAATTTGTGCTGTTCTCTCTCGGTTTGTGAGAGCACCCACATGATCAGGAGAATATGTCAAAGCTTGAAAATACAGCTGGTCTGCCATAACAATATCTTTCTGTGTTTCTTCCAGGAATTCTCCGTAATGATTGAGAATGTCAGGATGTTTTGGAGCAAGTGCTGCGGCATGCTGGAACAGTTTCAGTGCTTTATCATGCTTCCCGGCCTTCTTCATCTCCAAAGCTGCATATAACGAACTCAACGCTTCAGATTCTGAAACTGGAAAAACAGGAGACATTAAATTTGAAGGTATTCACAGTGATGACTGTTACCGTTGTGGCCTTTTGGGATGTGACATCGTGCGGTTTTGTGGGTGGATACTGGTGTTCTGGAAGAATATACTGCTTCCATCTTCAGGGTTGAAACCAGGACAGATGACATGAGGCAGAATGTCCCTCCAAAACTTCAGCATCCACTCCAAAACTACATGGCATCAAAACCCAACATACTAAAACATATTCTGCCCTTGACACCATATAAGGCACAATTTCTCACTTTCTACAGAGAATGTGATGTTTTCCTTTTTGGGTGTATCTTTACAATAAGGTGATGAGTTACCTTAATTATGTTATAACTGTCTGTTGAAGGGCTAATAAAGAAAAATACAGCCCAAATTCTATGGAAAGTTAGCTGGACTGGGGTCATTAGAATAGTTTTCATTATATCTAATATCAGGAAACAAACTTCAAATTCAGTGAGTTACATGCTGTAACTACATTGTAAAATTACTCCAACTACTGGTATATATACGATGCTAAGTCTACTGCTTAGGTTTCAAGGTATCAAATGAGAAATGACAGGAAAATTTCTGAAACAGTATTAAGTACAGTCAGGCTCCTGGATAAGATTCGAACTCTGGGTCTTTCAAATAAGAAGCATTAATATTGGCCATGGCATCACGACTAAATACGTAGCTTCAGTTTACACTGCCACTGAAAGAAAATTTGAGATTCTCAGATTTATTTTATTGTTTCTTACACAATATACCAATTGGGAGTTATGTTACCAAACACTTCAGTGTCCAGTAACCTCTAAATTTTCCAAGTTCTGCAATGACAAGTTTATGTAAGGTTAGGCTAAAACGAAATGGTTTTTGTTAGGGGAGGCTGTGTTAAATGACAAAAACATTAAACTGAAGAGTTGAACAAAGCGACGTTTATTCTTTCCTTCAATTTAATACACCGTACCTGAATTTTTCTTCTGTGGTTTGTTCAGAACATCAGTCTTGCGTAATACCAAACTTAATGTTCCTTCGTCTGGAGCATGAAGTTGACTGTCATCCGGTAAAGGTGAAAATGCTTTATGCTGGGGCTTAGGAATTGAATACTGTCTTACATCACAACATTGTGCTTTAAAATATTCCGAAAGAAAAGTAAATGATACAGCGAATACAACACCAAACAGGAATATGGCAGATAACGTAAATCTGCTCATTTCGTCTTTAGAAGTCCACATGAAGCACGAAACATTTAATATGAAACTTTTAGCAGCTTTGCCCCTTTCAATACACCATCCTGCACTCATTTTGTCAATCACCGAAACAAACTGTACACCTGTACACCTGTGAACCAAACAGCCTTCATGTACCACCAGCCATATTACATTAAAAAAGAAAACAACTGAATGCAGAAGTATGGAATTCGTTGTTTCGTTTTGATTGGTAGATAAGACACGCCACATATCGTCAGCCAGGATCGGTATCATGACAGAAATAATTATCCTTCCTACGTGGGAAAAACAGTAATAACACAAACGAACATTGGGAATTACTGGGTTTTGACCATCGTCTGGAATTCTGAAAAACTACAGAACAGAACGTTTCGGAAACTGGATCTGTTTCCATCCTCAAGGTGAAGGGGGAGACACCTACCCTACCTATTCTGTTGGTTCAGAAAAAACTGGTCCAATGATTGAGGTTAGCTAGTTTTTTTTTAATACTGGCCGGTGGACAAGGTAAAAAAACGGTAATTCCGAATGTCCTACACCATCGTCAGTACCCTCCAGAATCTATAAAGGAACATTGTATGCATATGTATGGGTAAAGCTATCCCTGTAACAGGCCATGGGAGTCTGTAGGATTGTGAGATGTCGAGGCTTCCACATTTTTTAGATAATCGGCTCACAGATGGCGGTGAGGTTGTCAGCCTTAAGCGCCGACCACCCTTTAGCCACAGGAAGATTTCTGATACTCATTTCTGTTAGAGGTTGAGTCGACCACACGGCCATACTGAGGCTTGAAAGTTTAGGACAACTGAAAACTTAAATAGCCTCGCCGGGAATCGAACTCACGACCTTCCGGCATGTAGCATAGTGTCTCAACCAACTATGCTACCGCGTGCCCTAACATATATGTATATATTTTGAAATATTACAAATATTTGCATATTATTGTGTCACGTGTTGGGTGTATAACGCGACAAATAACTTGACGCCATCTTGGATTCGCTCGTACACTTATACAATTCACAATTACACAGTTACTGCCATCGGCAGTATCACAAGTACTTCTCCGGTAGTGATTTTCTGAGGCGAATGCTAGACTGCAACTGACTGCTTACTCCCTATCTAGTTACTCTTACAAACCCTCAGTCGGACAGCGGAAAACCCGCATCGCTTCAGTGTTGCGTAAACGCCGTATTTACAGGCTTTGCTGGGGATCGCTGCCGAGAGTTGTTTATTGCTGCGTAGTAACCATGGTGTCCCCTGTTACGTCACCGCGTGGGAGGGGGACGGAGTGTTGACTGGCCTGTTACTG